TGGGAGTGTTTGTGTGGCTGTTTATACCCCTTTGAGTGTGTTCGTGCGGCAGCTTATAAATGTGTGGATGTGTTCGTATGGGTGTTTATACCCGCCCTAAGGTTGAAAGATGAGGATTTTCCTATTCTAGTTTTTTTCCTTTTCACGTGTCTTGCAAGCATATAAAATTTTGGTCAGATACCATTAAGCTGAAGGGGTCCTCCTGTCATCTGAAGATTTCACTAAGGCAATACAATAGTGGAATGCTCATGCAATGCAAATTACTTTTCTTATCATGGTAATAAAATTTGTATTGGTACTTACTTATTTATGGAAAGTGTGATGTCAGAGCATTATTTTAGGCAGTGTATATAATTTTGTCATAGGCACTAATTTTGACTGTCTGCAAGTTATGAGAAACTCAACCTTAATTTAGTTCTGTAAAAGCCGCCACAAAGCCCACGTGGTTAAATTCTGTCAAGTACGCAATTTAATAGTAGTGAATAACCAGTATCATAATATTTTCAATTATCTGTCATTTTTATATTGCCTTTAAGTCCTATTTTGTACTATGACAATTTTAAAATATAAATTTTTAATTATATTTATACACACACAAAGTAATACTGCAACATTTTCAAGCGAAGTTAAACTATGAAAACCAAACTTGATTTTGTTACGATTATGAAGTCGTCGAAGGCAGTACAAAAGAAAATAAGGCCATCTGTGGAAATATTTGGACTAGGAAGTGCCATAGGGTGACTTTCATATCAACGGAGGACCCCTAGAATGTTATCTGAATCAAGCCAGAAAATGTACGTTATTTGCATGACATTTGGGGAAGAAATAAACTAGGGACAAAGAGTTATTTAACAATTTATTTCTTTAATGGGGCACCCTAGTGTTGATGCTCATGTGGGTCTGTTCATATGGGTGTTTGTACCCGTGTGGGTCTGTTCATATGGGTGTTTGTACCCGTGTGGGTCTGTTCATATGGGTGTTTGTACCCGTGTGGGTCTGTTCATATGGGTGTTTGTACTCTATTTCCCATTCCAGAGACTTCCCTCAGAAGATGGCTATTGCTTTATCGGAGAACCCAGCTTCAGTCATTCATTCTCTCAGTCTGGCTAACAACACCCTGGACAATCAAGGTAGCACCTCTCTCTCTCACCCTTTCTCACCATCTTTCTGTTTGTCCACCAGCTTGTCTCTGTTTATTATGGTGGATGCCCATATGTGCATGCGTGTGAATGCTTCCTTCCCAGCTACAAAGTTAATCCTGTGACCCCCGGCAACACATTGCAATCCTATAATATGAGTCAGGAGCGCCCACCTGCAGCTGCCTTTCTGACACCTGTCACGCTCTTGCATCAGTAGCTGTGTGTGTGTGTGTGCAAGCGTGTGCGCGTGTGTGTATATGCCTGTGCGTCTCATTAATGGGACCTTTGTGGTATGTAGTCTTCTGGTTCACTGTGCGGACAAGCGAGTGAGCGAGCGAGAGAGACTCTCAGCCTGCTGTTTGCCTCCACAGGAGTCTCCAACCTCATCCAGCAAGTCTGCCGCCTCAGCAAAGGCCTGCGTCTGCTGAACCTCTCCAAGACCTCTCTCTCCTCCAAGGGTAGGCCCCGCCCTCTACGTCACGCTAGGCTGGGGGCCCCCTAGTGGTGAAAATGGTGCCCCTCTCCCTCCAGAGCCTCTTTCATCCGTTTCGGCTTGTCTGCGGTGGATGTAAGGGAAGCGCGGAGCGGGGGGGGGCTTTCCTCTGTAGGGCCTCTGGGGAGCAAAAGCACTTTCACCCAGTCAGTCTATTTACACTCGGTGTGAGTTTCGCTTCGTGTTCTGCCCTCCGCTGCCCCCTGATGCCCGCGGTCGCCCTCCTCATCATCCTTGTTTTCCATCTCCCTTCACATCCGTGCTGTTTTCTGACAAGAGCTTGTTCACAGGGGCCATAAAGGGATCTCTAGCTGCCCGTTTTGGCCCCGCCAATGCACACTTCCTTTTTAATCTTTCCTGAGCTGTTCAATTACGAGAGAAACTTTACGGACCCAGACTGAGCCCGACTGTATTTAGAAAGCAATGACACGCAGCATTAAGCATTAGTTGCTTAAGCGTTGCCGCTAGCTTTGCGAGCAGACGGACGTTAGCGCATCAGTAGCTGGTGTTATGGATACGACGGTGCAGCCGGCGGCGGGGTGTGGTGGTGAAGCCCTAACATCGCTTACAGGATGTTTTCTGTTAAGGCCGGACTGCGTGAGCCCCATGCAGCCAGCCCCCGTGGGCGACCACGGAGTATTGACTAAAGCGAGCGAGTGGTTTTAATGAAAGCTCAGAAAAGAGGGTTGCACACAGCGGGGGATGTTTGCACTCTCTCTCCACTCCCTCCTTTCTGCTTTTCCTCTCTATATTATTCTTGCCTAATCACCCTTTTCTTCGTACTACTGGGCTAAAATTTCATTGCGTTTTTTTTTTTTTTTTTTTCCTCTCCCCACCAAATACACGTCGATGCACTAGAGACACACAGACTGAATTAGGGGAAGTGAAATTCGAGCACAGGCGTTCGGAGGAAGACGTGCAGCACAGCGCAGTGCCGTGACCGATCACCCATCCCCGAAACGCGATAGCGCCTCCTGGCTTTTTGCTGCGGTTACTGGCAGCACGGGTGTCAGAATGTTGCTGGTTCAGCTGCCCGCGACATCCCACGTAAATGAAACACGCAAACAGGAAACAGTTGAAAATGTAACCCTCCCTTCACTCTTCCTCCCCATCCCTCTCTCCTATGTCTCCGATTAAAATTCGAAAGATGAAAACCCTTTAATAGCTTGGAAAGTATTGGGGCTTGTGTAGCTAGTGCTGTTAATGCAGGGAACAGAGTACGTAATGATGGATTGAAGGAAATGTAACAGATGAAGCATTAAATTGAAAATTAAGGAAATAAACATGTCTCTACACCCCCCTTCCCCCTCCCACCCCCATGTCAGGTGTGGTGTGTCTGTCCCAGGCTCTCAGCTCCAGTGATGATTACTCCAACTCCCTGCTCCACCTAGACCTCAGCAAGAACCCCGGAGTGCTCTCCGGAGAAGATGCCACGGTAAGAATTCTCCATCCCTCCACCCCTGCCTTTGCCACTCTGTGCACCTGTATTCACATGATAGTTTGCTCCAAGCACCAGTGAGAGAGTCGGGCAGATGTGGTCCTTTAACAGGTGAGAAAAGCAGGGGTGTATGCATGGTCCGGGCCACAGGAGGAATGGCCCCAGCTGAAAGCTGATTGGCTCCTCTGTCACTCACCGATTCAAAACATATCATTGGCTAATGATAAGGTTGGCCCCTCTGTATGAATTATGGTCCCTCTTATGCTTCCTAGAACCACCCCAGTATTGTATCAATACGTCGTTTGGTTCACCCATTCATACTGTGCACGTTCCAAATAAAATTGCCCGTCACGCCCTCCAGTTCCCTGTGTCCCACACAGCTGTTTGCTGTCCTGAAGGTCTCCTTTTTTTAACCGGTTTCTTTAAACAGTTTTCATCATTCACAAACCCACTTAACCACAGTACATGCAGGACTCTGCCAGCCCACTTAGCGTTTAGCCCCAATATGCTATGCATTATTAAAAAGCATCCTGTCTTGGAAACCACGCTGAATGCTTTGCTTTACTGATGCCATTGTCCCAGAACATTTCGGAGGTTGGTAACAATTGTACCACATCCTTATACTGTGTGATTCACTGATGCTTACAGCAGCCTCAAAGGTGCCACGGTCTCTTGTTAGTAAACTAATTCCTTAACTGCTGTCATGCCACGTTCCCTCTCACAGAGCGGTCTTCGTACCTGCTCCGAAAAAACGTGGTTCAGTCTGAGCAGCGGAAAGAGCTCTACCTTTGTAGTGCAAAGTGTTTAGATTGGGTTGGGTGAAATTCTGACCTGGGTCTGAGGTAATGCATTTGTCCCAGTTCAGATGGAGTTCATTAGGTGGTAATGACTGTTTTAGGTCCAGTATGGCTTTGGAGATGAATCTGTCAGCAGTAGTTGTGGTAGTCTTAATGTCAGGGCCTTCCGTTGAACCCCAAAAATAAGACACCATGCCATGATTGTCAACTCCTGCCCTCACTGATTCCCTGGTGTCGCCGTCATTAACCCCTGTGGCTCTCACATTCACCCATGGCTGTTTTTCTCCATGAGTGCTGGCCCTTTTAAGTACCTGGACTGCTGCTCTAACTGTCTTCCATTCTCCTCCTTGTGTCTCTGAAGAACCTGTACCTCTTCCTGGCCCAGCCCAACTGCCTGGTTCATTTGGATCTTTCCGGAACCGACTGCCTTGTGGACTCGGTGAGTCAGTAGAATCGATACTTGTTAATATGCAAGCCCCTACCTTTCTCTCCCTGGTTCATAGCCAATGGGATTTATTGGCATGACAGTGGATGGAGAGGCGTTTGAATGTTTTGCGCATTTGGCATGGTGCTTGTGCTCTTTAGTGTTGAACTTAAGTTGGAGGTCTCCATATATAATATCCAGCTGTATAAGTGAGAGTAAAATTTAAGTCCCTGTGGATGAAAGGTGTCAGCTTGCCAACTAAATACACATTATATTCAAAAGCAAATAAAATTTCAATAGATGTATGAGAGCATGTGTTCTGTGATGGACTGGGATCCTGTCCAGGGTTGTCCTCTGCCTCATGTCCTGTGTTGCCTTGGATACGCTCCATCCCCCCCACACACACACAAAATCGTACACTGGATAAGTGGCTATGGAAAACAGATGGATTGATTCTTTGTAATGTAATATTTTAAAAGCTAATTAAATATGTACAAGTAAAGCTTCAAACTAGAGTTTTTGTAACCTTTTCTCTCTGTTTCTCAGCTGTTTGGTGCTCTGCTCAGGGGATGCTGTGCGGATCTGTCCTACCTGAACCTATCCAGGAACTCCTTCTCTCACAAGTGAGCTCACAGTCTGCTGACCCCGGGACAGTCGAAAACGACTTTTACAGCAGAATGATCCATGGGAAATCCCTCCGGGTTAAGATCTAATTTCAGTTTCTATCGATCTGCTTCGGCATCACATTGGTCGGAATAAATGATAATAATAAGCCGCCGGTGATAAATAAATATAATACCGTTGTAAATTGTATATATGAGAACAAAAATAGAACATAAAAATGAATTATATGCCATAATAAGGATCAGAGCGCTTTCAGCATTGGCAGAGGCCGCTGTCTTCAAACACTGATAAAGTGGCAGTTGTGAAATTAGCCGGTGTCTCCCCGACGGTGCCGAGGCGGTCGGTTGCCTGCTGCGTGCTTTTATCTTGTCCCGGTAGGACGCAGCCCTTTATCGTTTGGGAGGGTAATGACATTTGGAAGGTGCTGGTTGGTTTTTCTGCAAATATTTCTTTTGTGGCGTCGTTTTTGGACAGGTTGACAGGGAACGCGTCGCTTTCTATTTCATCTCTCTCTCGCTCGCTCTCTCTAACCCTTAAATCTGGGCTGCGTGCGCGCTCGTTTGGCTCCGGCATGGCGCGGCGCTGCCAGAAGCCCCCGATGTGTGCAGAATGTCACATGAAATGGGGTCAGAAATCTGTCTGCGCGGATAACAACGAGGAGCGCCGCTAATTCCCCACCGCGGCGGTGCCGCTGGGCTCGCGCCGCGCACTGCCGGCTCCTCCGCGAGACGCCGTCACTCGAGACGCGAGCGGCGCCATTAACCGGTGTCACTGTAATGCCGAGAGGTCCATTTAATGGTGATTAGTTCCGCGTAATTAGAGTAAAATTTATCGGACTGTCTGTGTCAGATTCCGGCTGTGCCCTTGGGGGATTTTTAGATGCGGCACGGCAGTCCTTCACGCGTCTCGTTACTGACAGCCTTTCACACTTGTGGTTTCCATCTGAAGATCAACTGGTCTCCGATTCGCTTTGTTCGGTATTTGTCCGCCGCCCCGAGTAGCAGCAGATGGTTTTTATTCGCTATCAGATGCCGACAGACTACAGGGTTTCCAACTCGCACGCATCTGGCGGGACTCTCACACTTTCAGACTTTCACACTCACGCTAATAATCTCACGGCAAATCTATATTATTCTATCATAAAATTAGCCAAATCAAAAGCGTTGGGACAGTTTGCAAGCCCACAGGCTATTTACAAGGTAATAAAACTCTAAATGTGTGTGCAGACTTGTCTCGAATTGAAAATCTCACCCCGGCCAGCTGATCAAAGGTGGCAGCCCCGTAACAGTGTTTCTCGATCAACTGGTTTTGTCGATTTAAAACTGAACAAACGAAGACTTTATGGTGAAGAGTTGGCATTACAGTTGGTGGTGCTGTCTGCTTACAGTGATTCAAGAGTAATTTGAGTGGGCACGCATCAGCAGTGGTGGTTCTCGCTTGTATGGCGTCCTGGGCGAACCCCCCAACAAAAATGATGTTTTTACTCATAAAGAGATTAAATTCCTGTATGCCTTTATCATTTGTGCATTTCTCCCCTTTTCCTTTCCTCTTTCTTTCTAAAATGGACATTTGATGGCTGAGACCTTTTCTTATCCATTTGTGTTAATTTGGCACTCAAGCGTCAATAATTCAATTCATCACCCAAGACTGTCAACCAAGAGCCAAAACTAAACAAATTCACCTTGACTGGCTTTATATTATTCTTAGGGATTTCACATAACCAGTAAAAAAGCAACAATATGTCTAAAGAACTGTACATTTACAGTATTATGAATGAATAGTGGTTCATTTAGTAGAATGTTGTAGTGTAACTGATTTTGCTAATTGCGTTAGTACTGTACAAAATTAGAGCTTCACTGTTTGATAGATTCCCCAACTATACCCCCCCTCGGGCTTCCAGTGGGGCAACACTGGTCAGCCCCGCCCCACCCCACCCCGCCTTGTACTTTTGAGTGGTAGTCTGTCTAGCTCACAAACTAGAATAAGGGTGCCCTCTCTGACATCATTGATATATTTTTTGTGTGTGCGGGTGTCCCATTCTGCCCATTCCTGTATCCACCAGTGCACCTCAAAAACATTTTTATCCATATAAAACAAAATCTGAGCCAGCTTATGAATTTATAAGGTGTACTAGTAGTTAGCAATATGGGCTTGCCAGTAAGGACGTGCAGCTCTACACTGAAATATCAATTCTTTCAATATTGAATGTTTTATTTTGAAAATCAATTCTAACATTAAAATATTTTTTTTTTTTTTTTTTTGGCCTGGTATTTCAAATGTTTATATTATTACAGGGAGTAGGACATTAACTACTGCCAGGCAGGCTGGCCCACCCATACGGGGTGGAAAGGGGAAGCCTTTCAGAAGCCTTGACAGTAGTGAACTAGGGAAATGTAGTGATCGATCCTCTGGCACACAGCCTTGACAGTAGTGAACTAGGGAAATGTAGTGATCGATCCTCAGGCACACAGCCTTGACACCCCCCCTCCCCCCAGGCTTGGTAAATTTTATCATCCAGGATTGTGGTCCGGGGTCTGTGCCTGTGGAGAGGAGCGTGTTCTCTCTGTGTTTGTGTGGGTTCCCTTCCATAGTCCAAAAACATGTGTTATAGTCAATTGATGTCTCCAAAGTGTCTGCAGTGTGTGGTTGCATCTGTGTCAGTATGTGCCCTGAAAAAGACTGGCGTCTTGCCCAGCCCTGCTCCCTGCCTCGTACGCTGTACTTCCCGGGAGAGCTTCCCCGGCTGGCCACAACCGCGTGCTCGATAAGCGCTTACGAAAGGTGGCGCTTCTAGCGGATTTCGTAAGTGTCCCTGATCTGGGCTGGCTTGTTGGACCCCTGCCACTGTCATTCATGCTGCTTTTGTGTTGCCGATGGCCCGTTGAGGGTCACACATAACAAAGGTCCGCCTGGGCTGTCTCCTGTCGTCAGGAAAATGCGGGAGACCCTGCCCCTCTTCCGGCAGTTCTTCAGCTCTGCTTTCAGCCTAACGCATGTCAGCCTGGCGTCCGTGAAGCTGCCAGCGGACGCGCTGAGGTAGGTGTCTCAACACGGGGGGGGGGGTGGATCAGTCGTGTCTGGATTACATGCTCCTTAAACACTTTAAACGTCTGCTGTGGGGTCAGTGTATCAAGGTCTGGTTTCCTGCTTTTTAAAGGATGAGTCCCAGTATTTGCTGTAATGCTGAAATTTATACCCGGATTTCTGGGATTTTTTTTAGACTATCACCTATAAAATATACGCCTCCGTAAGCAGTGCGCGCATTTACATAAGCAGACTTATAGCTGGGTCAGGGATTTTGCGAGACCTCCTCTTTCCTCCCTCTCTCCGACAAGAACTCTGTTCATCGGGCTGTCATTGAACCCCCACATCACCGATCTGCACCTGGACATCAGCGGCTGTGAGGTAGGAGCACTTTCCTGACTCTAGAGACTTTTCAAAGGTCTCTGTAGGCAATGGTAGATTTTTTTTTTTTTGCCATTTGGACATTGAGTGATAGGAAGCGTGTATTAAATTTCAAATCATGGAATACAATTGCTCTCCCAGCTCCTTTCATACCTCTACCCGGCTCTCTCTCTCAGCTTAGGTCACCAGGAGCAGCTGTGATAAGCGAGTTGTTTCCCAGGGTGACCTGCATAAGCGCNTTTTTTTTTTTTGCCATTTGGACATTGAGTGATAGGAAGCGTGTATTAAATTTCAAATCATGGAATACAATTGCTCTTCCCCATCTTTCTCTCCGTCTCTCTCTCTCTCTCTCTCTCTCAGCTTAGGTCACCAGGAGCAGCTGTGATAAGCGAGTTGTTTCCCAGGGTGACCTGCATAAGCGCACTTGACATATCAGACAATGGTGAGAGGAATTAAAAGCTCACAAAGTCTTATGTACCTCTGGGTGTCTGGTCCGCGTGTGACTGTCTATAACTATCACCGCCTACTGTCTGAATTCCATGGTCCATGTCAGTGATTCTAGATCTCAACCCAGTCCTTGGAGACCCCTTGAAAGTCCACATTTTTGCTCCCTCTCAGCTCCCAGGCATTCAGGAACACCGACAACCTAGTCCAGGCGTGTTGGGTTGAGAAAGACTAGTTTACGTAGACGTGTGCTGACGTGGTGAAACGGGGGCAGTGAGGCCCTTTGCTCTGGCATCAGCTCGGCCTGTTGATGAGGTGTCAACGCATTTTGCCGGCAGGGACATAACGCATCTTCCATTAGAAAGTGCTCTTACGCTGCGTGTTTATGTTCTGCGACATGTGTTTCTGTCATCACGTGTAAATGTCCTGAAATGTTTGTTGTGGTTGGTGACGCCGTGCTCTAATCCCATCTGGTCCCCCCCCCCAGGACTGGATGGCGACCTCCTGTCTGTCCTTACGGCCCTCTCCCGCCACCCCTCCCTGAAGCACCTCCTGCTGGGCAAGAACTTTAATGTCAAGAGCAGGTATTGTCACCAGATAGACAACTCGGGTGGAATTAAGTAAGGCGGAGGCATGTGGGCGACCCCAGGGCCGAGGAGGCTGGGTGCTGGGGGGAGGGGGGGGGTGTATAAATGATCATAATGGTCAGAGAGTGCTTTAGTGTAGGGGGAGATGATGTATGCCTCCTACCCTGTGCCTACCCCAGTACACTGACACCACACCCCTCCCTCCTTACGTCTGCAGGGTGCTGGATGAGATCCTGCAGAAACTGGTTCAGCTCATACAGGAAGAGGAGTGTGTGAGTATTCGTCACGCTCTGAGCCTCGTAGACGCGCTGGCATGCACACCCATATTCGACCGCCGGCCCTTACTGGTCACTGTTCCATGTACCAGTATGGAGCGCGGGGTCTGCTCGGTGAATGAGTCACACGCATTTGAAGGTGTGACCGGCCACTGCTCTTTGGATCCCTCCAATCCTCCACCGCAGTGGCCCTTTGCCCCCCACTCCTGTCCTGTTGTTCTCTAAACACTAACAAAGAAAGACAGAAAAAGGTGACAACGGAGGGCAGAATGTGGAAAATACGGGGTGACGGAGGACAGGGTATGATGCGGCACCCCCCTGTATAGTGTCCATCTCGCTGAGCTTCTGCTCTGATCTGAGCTGCCTCTTCATGCCACATTCTGTCCTTCTGGCCATGATGACAGAGAGCTCACTCTGTCCTGGCTGTGTGACCCCCAACGTCTCCTTTGTCATGTGAGTCATCTTTTGTTTTCTTTTTTTTTTTTGGTCTTCCCCCCTCCACCCCAGGGGCTCCAGTCTCTCTCGCTGGTCGACTCCCGGCTTCGGTCACGCGGCGCTGTGCTTGTCAACGCCCTGGGCAGCAACACCTGCCTGCGCAAGGTGGACCTGAGTGGGAACAGCTTAGAGGACATCGGGGCCAAGATGCTGAGCAAAGCCCTGCAGATCAACACCACAATCAGGTAAGATGGAAGAGGATTGTGTGTCAGTCCACACTCATCTTCAGGTGGAGGATGGTTATAGGCCATTCCTTACACTTTGGTTTGGGTGGAGCAGGATTGTGGGTCAATCCTTCATGCTCATGTTCAACTGTACGAGGACTGTGAGGCAGTCCTTCACGTTCGTTTTGTGGGACATAACATGGAGAGAAAATAATACCTGACACATACAGTCTAATGTCTACTGCATTTTATAAATAGTACAAATACAGTAATATTTGTATATGACTCTCGGGAGAACTGGTATGAGGAGTAGCTCTGCTTGGAGTGGTATTTAAAAACACAATGAAAATGGGGAAATAAAGCGGTGATAAATTCACTGTGTTCTCCCTGCCGTGCTGCCTGTCTGCGTTATTTTCCAATGCCTTCTCTCTCTCCCTCCTTTCTTCCTTGTCTCTCTCTTTTCCTCCTCTAGGAGTGTGACGTGGGACCGAAATGGGACCTCGGCGGCCGGATTTCAGGACGTGGCCCGAGCCCTGGAGCAGTGAGTGACCTGCGTGCGAACACACTCGTGCACAGGCACATGTACAGCATATTCACACTCACGAGCGCTAATCAGCCTCTAAAACCAGACATACCAAGGTGAGCGTTCACCCTCACAGACTGTCCTCAACGCACATACACACATGTCTGAATCATCCAGCAAACGCACAGTCTTGGAAGGAGCCAGAGGCTGTTCTCCTGGCCTGATCACTAATCGTCACTGTGAAGGAGTCACTTCAGCATCCCTCCTGGGCCATCCGCCTCGAAGCCGTGATGCGTGGGTCTTTAGGGGTGGGCTGAGTCCCTCAGCCCATCAGTTCTGATTGGTTAACCATTTATGGGAATGCCAGTCGTCTCTCTTCCTCCCTTTCCTGTGACCTGGCTTCCCCTGGCTAACCGTCAGCTTCCAATCTCTCTCTCCCTTGTCCTTGCAGCAATTTCACGCTCCAGTACATGCCCCTCCCACTCAGTGATGTCACGCAGGCGTACCGCAGCGCCCCCGAGAGGACGGAGCAGGCGCTGACCAAGGTGGGGGCATCGTAACTATTTAAAAGCCAAAATGACATTTTAAAAATGTTAATTATACTTTGTTGGATCGGTGTCTGAAAAAATGATACTCATGGAATTAGATTTACTGCGGCTGCCTGCGTATGTGACCGAAATGCTAACAAGTCATACTTTGGGAGTTAGGGGTGTAGCAGAGTGTCTCAGCTTTTCTCCGGCAATGTCTCTGTTTCGCCGCCCGCCCCCGGCGGGGCACTGACTGGAGCTCTCCCTGTCTGGCAGATCCAGCGTGCCCTGCTGAGGAACAACCAGACCCAGCGTTTCTCACAGAAGCAGGCACTCCGGCTGCACCAGGGCCTGGTCACCAGCACAGCTGAGCAGGTCCGCGTCCGTATAATGACCCTCGTGCTCCACCCATCTAAGCCCCGCCCCCTCTCAAAGATGGAGTGATGGCTAACCCCTCCCCCTTCCGCCCTGCCTCTCTTCTCTCCTCACCCTGCCCTTCCCCAATCCTTCTCTGCCCTTTCTCGAATTTCCCGCCCGCCCACCTTCATCCCGGCTCTCCCCTCTCCATCTGCTCTGCTGCTCCCCACGCGCCCCCCCCCCCAGGTGATGGAGCGCCTCTGCGTGCGTGTGCAGCAGCAGGTCTGCATCCTGCGGGGGGTCACTGACAGTGAGGAGCTCCAAGCTGCCCGGCAGGTGCTGAAGGAGGCGCGCAACTCCCGCGCGGTGAGGTCCCGTCTCCGTTGACGTCCGCGTCATACATGCACACGCATCGCATTATGTTCCTCTTATTGTTTCCGTTGAAGCATCTTGATCCACAGGAGAGAGAGCATGTAGCTTATTATTGAGGTGTGTATACAGTAAAACTAACCAGGTTAAGTAGGTTAGCTAGTTAGGTTAAGTTATTCAGGTTAAGTACCTTCTTCAAGCATATAAGAGCCAGGCCCTTCCTGGGATTTGGAGAGAGAGAGAGAGTGTGTGTGTGTGTGTGTGTGTCTGTGTGTTATACACACAATAGCTATACATAGTGTAGGCAGGCTCTGTAATAATGGCCTCCATCCATCTCCATCCTGCCCAGCTGTATCCCTCGCTGTGCGAGCTCGCCCATGTTCTCTCCGTGGACGGGCCGGTCCGGCAGAGGTTGGACTCGCTGGCCGGTGAGCTGGCGAAGGCCGCGGACAAGGAACTGCAGGTGTGAGCCCGCGGGCAGCTCCCGGCCCTTCCTGCGGCAGGCCTCGCCGCCTCGCCTGCTCCTTCGCGTTCCCCGCTGTCCCACGCCGCCCCACACTGTTTACAGCTCGCCCTCTCGCCTCTATTTATGGCAGTACAACACATGCAGCACAGTCTGCGTTTTGTGGAGCTTATTAGGGCTCTGTTTAAATCATACGTTGTCGTATCTTACGTGACAGATGCTGGTGAATTTAAAGTGGATCCTTCTCATGCAAGAAATATTCTGTTGTTGCAGAAACTTGTAAACTGTGTACTTTCATTTATACACCATGGCTTTTTGGTGCCTTTAAAATCCGCAAAGTCATGCACACGCAGCGTCATCGCAGCGCGGCAGGCCTGCTATGCACACCTGCCTGCCGCTCTTTCTGATTGGCCGGCCTCTTGTGGACTCAGGTGATTGTGGACTCCATGGTGTCCCTTTGCCGGGAACTGTGCCCGTTGTCGTCCGCGGCGGCTGAGCACCTGACCCCGCCGCTGTCCTCGGTGGCGGAGAGAGTGTCGGTGCCGCGCTCGGCCATCCGCACAGCGCTGATGGAGCGGGCGGCTCAGGACGTGCACCGGGCCCTGGAGTGAGTTCTGCCCTCCCTGCTCAAGTTCACACTCACCTACGCAAACGTATTACAGCACCTGTGCGAAACACCCGCTTCAGTCGGGCAGTGTGAGCGGGTCAATGGGACCCCAGGATCACTTTACTTGTGTGCAGGTTTTACAGAATGGCAGCAGAAATCTGAACGGGCATGTCAGCTGACTTCAACTCATCCCAGAACAACACAAAGATACTATAAAATTCTCATAAAGCCGCATAATATAATAGATACCAGTGTATGGAAATGATCAGTCTGCAAGGAACAACGATTATTTGTCCTCGTGCAAGTGGAAAACTATTAGCAATTTCTGTAACATGAATTAATTCTTTCAGTCAGTTATACGTTTGGTATATTCAATGCACACAAAGTTTTGGGATGCTTGCTTAATTCAGCAAAAATAGTGCATTTATTGATTACAGTATTCATTTGTTTACCAATATTGTTAAACCAAATTGTTAAATGTCTAAAATATATATCACATTAGAAACAACCAGTAGTTTTAAGTAAAACATTCATTTAATATAGTAAAAAATTGAATTCCAAATTGTAACTAAAACAGTTGTCCTGAGTTAAAAGGTTCATTGACAAGCAGTCTCACTGGGGGCTTTTTAATTAGTAACATAAAACAACCAAACATTTCTGTTTAGTGATACTTTGGAGCCAGTGACTACAATTGCAATTCATAACAAGAGCAGAATTGAATGTGTCGGTCAAAAAAAGATACATAAACAAATAATGTCTGTGTGAAGGATATGTGCAGATATGTTAAATATTGGTTGGACTTGTGTTATGAAACTAATAAGTTTGCAGCATTTTTACAAAATGAAGCAAACATCCCAAGACTTTCCGTATACTCTACATATGTTGGTACTGAACTCACTCAGGTATAATTGAATAACTTAGTCTGTAACATTGTGGCATATACATGAGAAAATATTAGTGTTGACGCAAAGTGCAGTGATGGTATGGCAATTTAAAAGTCAGGCTGGAGAGTTAAGAAATGCACTGCATTGTGAGTGTCATTCAGTCTGGGCTTTTACCTCTTGCTGTTATCCGAGTGATGAAACTAAAATTACCAAAGAATTGAGTGAATGCCAAACACAGGCAAAATATTTTGTGACGGTGTTGGTTCATTTTCAAAAGGGAATACAGAAGGTGCATCAATAAAGATGAGGAGGGGGTGATTAGTGATTTCTGTCGCTCGCTCTCCTCTCGCACAGGGAGGTGAAGCTGTCCGTGGTCTCCTACCTCACCAACTCCATCGTGGATCAGATCCTGCAGGAGCTGTACGCCACTCACAAGACCCTGGTATGGTCACACTGCACCCTGTGTGTCTGTTCCACTGACATCTTACCCCCGCCCCCCCGAACTGTGCCCTCCCCATGTTCATGTTTCACCTTCCTGTCCCCAGACGCACCAGGTGTCCCAGCTGAAACGCTGGGATGGGGACGGAGGGACAGGTAAACGCTCATACCGCCACCGTGACTCCATGGACATCACCGACGAGGAGTTGGGCACCAGCATTGTGAGTTTCCGTGTGTGTTTGTGTGTGTGTGTGTGTGTGTGTTCCGTGCCTGACAGCTGAGCGGATTTGCTGTGCCTCTTTTGATCTCTTGTCTGGTTTGTCCAGGTCTTTTATACTTTTATCTTTTGAATCATTATCGATCGCACTGAGCTTGATGTCTCTGCCAAAAGCATCCAGGTGTCAAGGAACTTTTAAACTGGGTCTTTTGTCAATGGTTGGAGGCTGCAGCTCCTGCTCAGTGTGATAGTCAGGGATTGGAGGCGTCACTTCACCAATAGGATTCACCAGTTAGGTATAGGGGATGATTAGGAGGGCAGATTTGCAAGGACCACAGTGGACAATTTAGCCAGGAAATCGGGGTTTTCATGGCGTCTGTAAAGTATTGGGTACCAGCCCACTTAGGCATGTAAATGCCTGAAGTCTCCCAAGCTTATGGGGTGAACTTTTCATCCAAGGGCCGGCCACACAATTCAGTCCCTCTGGTTCTCCTCCTCTCCCTGTAGGACACCATCGCTATTAAGAAGCGCAGTTCCAGGACCCGACGGATTCGCCCTGTTTCCACAAGGCTGAGTGAGTCCTCCCCCCCCCCTCCATCTCAAAGGGGCTTCCGGGCGGCTGGTATTCACGACAGATTAGACACAGCGAGGCCTTGGGATGCGTGTGAGGGGTGTTTATCATGCCGCCCCCTGGAGGATGTTTGTGTGTACTGAGGGATAACACCAGGCTTAAGAACCAGTCAATGAAGTAGCACTTTAAACCTTTAATCAGTGTTAAAGATCAGGCAGGTTCTTCTCAGGGACCTGAGCTGATGGAAGAACACAGGCCTCACTCCAGGATGAAGGATGTTTTCTTTTAAGTCCATCCATCATTATTTAAGTATCCATCCTTAGTAAACTGTTATGTAACCTTAAATTAGCAAGTGTCTAACAATATGGTAGCAGTGTGTAAATTAGAAATCTGTGTGTAAATTAGACTTACTTACTGCCATATAAAGCCTGATAAACTGGGCCCTAAATGAAGGAGAATCGAATCTGTCCATCTAGAAATGATCAGTTGGAGGTCCAGAGTCTATCCCAGAAATCACCTTGTTCCTGACAGACACAGACGCGTGCCTCAGAAATCTCTCCCCAGCGTAACAAGTGTTTTTAAATCACTTAGAAAGCAGTAATTAACATTTTAAAGGTGCAAATGCAGAATTAATGTATGCCCAGCACCTTTGCCAGTAGGTACAGTATAGCCAGCGTGTGCACACTGAACGCGTCCATTTGTAAGGATCCCTCTTTCTCTGCATCCCTCTCTTTCTCAGGTCTGGGGGACGACTCCAGCTCCTCTCCCCCCTCCACGGCCCCCCCTCTCTCCGCCCCCATGTCTCACGCCACCTCCTGGGAGTGTCTGTCGGACCTGCCCACCCAAGGCGCCCCCCTGCATCACGTGACCAGGGTCAGGCCGAGGCCGCCCCGCAGGCACCGCAGGGGTCAGCCCCCACCGGACACTGTGAGCCCCCCCCCCCCCCACAATGCTCTGATCTAGTTTACACAATAGCTAAGATCTGTAGATGATGCTTAAAGATGTTTGCCAACATCTAGTTTAATAATATGATGTGTCACCATAAATGTACCCATGTATATTTCTGTAATAACTGTAGTATTGAGCTGCAGTTTTCATACTGGGGTGGCATTAGTAAGTATCACCCTTCCCTTGTGCAGAGGGACTGTGGTAAAGTGTAGGGCTATACTGTTAGCTACTACAGTGTGCTTAGCAAAGACGGCCCGTGTCTGCTAATACTCATATTGGTACATTAGTTTGTTAGGTGACTGGATGGGGGGTGGGGTTCAATAAGCAGGTATGGGAGTTACGAGCAGCAGCCATCCTCAGGATGTTCTGTCTGCATGAGTAAGGGAGCTCCAGGAAGAGAAGGGGGCATAATTTATATAGAGGGGCCAGGCTTATCATTAGCCAATGATGTGTTTTGAATTGATGAGTGACAGGCGAAGGGGGCACTCCAGGGGCCAATCAGCTTCCGGATGCAGCCAGTCCCCTTGTGGCCCCACCCCTGTGTATCATTAAGGGAGTAATTCACATTCTGGCCACTACTGGCCCTGGTAAAGCTTGTCGCCCAGGGAAATGGCAGAATACCTGCCTGGGTTCGTGGAGTTGGATTCCCGGTGGAGATGGGCGATTAGGACTCAACCCAACTCTACTTAATCGCTCCACTGAGAAGCGGCAAACCTGCTTAAAGTTCTTCATGGCATAAATGATATCCGCCTGCGCGCGGTAATTTATGCCCGCAAGCTCTGTCTGCTTGCTAATTTCTCATCAGGCAGAACGAATTAGGGTGAATGGAGACATCATCCATGCGAGTTAGTCTGAAATTGTTCTGAGTCCAAACTGATTTCAGATTTAAAATGCAGATAAACTTCAGGAAAACAAATGAGTGCAAATGAGTAACTGTCTGGCGTCAGCAGATACGGTGTTCAGTGGTTATCGTTGATGCATCATCCGGCAGACGGCGGCTGGATCTGGTTTGGTCATGTGATCAGGTCCTTTCTGTCTGTTGTGCTGTGGAAACTGGGTTGTGATCCTCGTGGTTCTGTGAAGAATCCAGCCCCTATTTCAAATCACGCATCATTTAGAGGCTGGAAATAGAAGATCTTCTATTTCAGGGCTCTTCAAATCTAGACCTCGATTCTAAATCCAGGTCTTGTTTTCAGTTCTCCCAGGTTGTTAGTTTAATAATTACCTATTCTGATTGGTCAGAGGCTTCACACCTGACTGACAGGTAAAGGAAGGCTGGAAAACTAGCAGTGCTCAGACTTCGAGGACCGAGATTTGAATAACCCTGCTCTATTTCGACGTGCTGTTTCTCCGTATTATCCTACTCACCGTGATTTTAGTGTGATCATCACTGAGCTTTTCCCTCTGTGAGGAATTCTGTCCGCTTAATATTTTGATTGCATTCAGCCAACAGTTTTAAGTTAATTATTCTCCTGTGTGCCTGCGTACTCTGTATTCACAATACTATTCAGAATAAGACTGGAATGTTCCTTCATGCCAAATGCAATAAAACCAGTCTTTTTTCAAACCAAATGAAATGTTTTTCAATGCACTCTGCAGCAAATATGTATTAATTGTGCTATACTGGGTCTAAATATAGTCGGCACTGCAGTGATTTAAAAGAAGGACTTAAGAGAGGTTGAGATTGTTTTTAAATAACAGAATCTTCCTTTAAAGGAATGACTTGTATGTAAACATGCCTTTGTCAGTGTTGGGGTGTCTTTGATTATAATGGGGTCACTGGGGTGAAGTTTCATACAGATCTGGGGTCTTGTTGCCTGGGATTTATGTGTCTTGGTTTTTAGGGCAGATCGTTGGTGGAAGAACTGAATCGAGTGGCTTTTGTCTGTAGAATCTGATTGACACTTCTAATATGCTTTGTTTAATTTCTGTTCTAATTCGTTTCATTTCTGTGTGTTGTTTAAGATTATTGTAGGCGATTTATCGTGGATTTTTTTTTTGCTCTGGCTGTCATTGGATCTAAAGTTTCTTAAAATATCCTTTAATTCCACCTCCAGCTTTTCAGAGTTGTCTTATTGTAGCGCCGCCGTTAACGGCTTAGTTCTTTGGGTGAAGCCTTGATCTGTTTTTATTTTCGTTCCTGGTATTAAGGTCGAACAGCTTCGAAGGAGTATGTCTGTTTTAGGCTCTATAGCCATTTCAGCTCCTTTTTAACGCCCTGTCATTCTGTTTCACGCTTTTTTTAACGGTGCTTTCGGCTTTAAATGATCATGTTGCGAACGTGATTGACAATCTGCACTCTTCGCTGGGCTCCATGGGGATTCTTTGCGTGCCTTTCTGGGCTGTCTCCAGGAAGACGCGTGCATCACTGCAGTCTGAAAGCGGAGTTTTGCTAATGTGCTAACAGGAATAACGTCCTTATTGACAGCGGAGGAGCATGTGTACTCATCCAAAGTCACTCCACTTATTTTACTTGCATTGAAGGGTATGATAGCTAACTGATATGCGATCATGCCAGCCCCATCCGATTTTATCCATAAAATGCTGTCAAGGTTGTTGCCTTCATGAATGCAGGCATTCAAGTACAGATTACTAAACAAATCGAATCCTTCTTTAAAGTGTATAAAAGAGTGAAGCTCCATTGCTCCTCTTCTCTGTGATTGTATAATAGTGTGTTACCTTGTTCTTGCAAGTGCTTGCTGCGGAGGATGATGGGAAAAATCCTCACTGAAGTGTGGCACATTCGCAGCTCATATGCTGCTGTCAAAGCCAGCTGCTCTCTGCGAGGCCTTGTTGAACAGCGCTCGCTGTGTTTAATGATAATAAGAATGCACCTCGGTTGGCGTCCTGGAAGGCAATATGACTCCCTATAATTGCGAAGAATGCTGCAATACACCATATTACACATTAAGGTTTTTTAAAAATAGTGATAGTTTTGTGGCTGGAATAAAGTGACAGGAGCCAGTGGTAGGGTGATTTGGTAGGGGGCGCCGGAGAGAGTGGCAGAGGCAGAGGGAAGTTTTGGGAGTAGTTGTATGGATTCCATGAGGGTGCTCTCAGTGGTCTTTGGAAACAAAGCTCTTCAGCTTGGCTCTCTGGCTCCGCCTCCCTCAGCCGTAACCCGACACCCCTGCCTCAGCTGCTGCAGCTGATTGGGCGGCGTCCGTCCACAGGGATCCTTGAAGCTCTCATGAGGCAGAGGCAGGCCCTCCGAGGTGGCATCAGAGGGCCGGGCTGACGGGGGAGTCGTCGGTAGACGGGCCCGTAATGAATCTGCGGGGGTGTCTCCCACATCCAGGTCGCCCATTTTCTCTGCCGCGGCTCTTTAATTGTCTGAGTGCCTGATCAGGAGAAACTGGGAATGGACCATGCCGTCTTGACTTCCGTGTTTTATAGCATGAGCAGAGTGGTCAGCCTCTGCTCTGTTTTGGACGGCAGCCATGATACACCTCTTTTTAACAGACCTGCTCAGAGCCTCCATTATGCAGGTCATCTGCTCTGAGTTGCAATTAGCCTCGTCTGTGTGTCTTTCAAACTTGCAGATGCAAGCATAGTGCCCTACAAAGACAGAACACAGTAAATACCTGACGCTGAGACTAAGAAAAAGGGCTTCAAAGTTCTTTGACTGTCCACCTGTACGTGTAGCGGGTAGGTAGATCATAGCGTATTCTTCAAATCCAAGCTAAGTTAAACTTGGGCTCAGTTTTATCTTGTGACAAAATATCTAACAGATGAAATCTTGATCATTAACTCAATTTTTATAAAACACGCAGCTGTGGTTTTTGCATTTGAATGGCATTAATAGGCATTTCTGCAGAGAATATATAGTTATTCTTAATTAATAGAAAAGCGTGACTCTTACCTCAAGTTACCCTTGTGTAGCACAGTATGGTGGTATGTGATTAATGGTAATTTCCCACGCTGCTGTAGGTATGTTTGCTAAAGTGAGCAGTCTCTTCTTTCGTGACTCACTCCTTTGAAAGGACGGCGTTATGCCTCTTTCCTCGAGCCTTTCTTTCTTTCTGCTCTTTTTATTTCTTCCGCTGCTCTCATCCTGTCCTTTTCTTTCTTTCCATCTCTCCTGCCGTCGAGAGCCTTTCCTTTTGAAGCTGCGGCACCTTCAGCTGTCCGCCACCGTCGCCCAGTCTGCCTTCATCTTCCTATTGCTTGTTAATGTTTTTGCGTCAGAATGACGGTTTCATCTAGACGGAATCACAACAAGTGGCCATTTTAATATAAAGATACAATGGACCACAAAAAATGCCTGTACCTGACAATTCTTTTTCATTGTTGCTGTTTTCCTGAATTATAAAACTCTCCCTGCTTCGCTCTCCCCTATTAAGCTAAAAGTCCAGGCTTACTTTCTCTCGTCCTGTCTCTCTCATCGCAGCATTGTACGGAAAATGGGGCAGTGACTCCTCTTGATGATGGACTTCCTGATTTTTACACCAAGAGGGTGCTGCCTGACAGGTATGTCTCTCTCTTCCAGCTCACATGGCACATAGAAATGCTTACACAGTGTGACTGTCTCTTCCAGCTGAAATGGCACATAGAAATGCTTGCACAGAGTGACTGTCTCTTCCAGCTCAGATGGCACATAGAAATGCTTGCACAGAGTGACTGTCTCTTCCAGCTAAAATGGCACATAGAAATGCTTGCACAGAGTGACTGGCATGCACAACCCTTTATGCCATCTCCCCCCCCCTCTCTCTTTCCCAGTCAGCTTTCGTCTGTTCATCAAGCCCAGTCCATCAGAAGAAAGAAGAGGCGGAATGTGCTGTCCATCTTTGGTTTCCGTAGGAACCGCAACTCAGCCCTGTCCAATCTCGGGGCGGAGACTGCTGAAATGGGAGGGCCCACTGGGGATGATGGCTCACCTATGGTGCCGGCGCCCATCAAGTACTTCAATCCACCATTACTGTGTTAGCAATAAGCCTTTTGCAGAGTATTAACTCAGCGCTACCGCATTAGCAATGAGCCTTTTGCAGAGTATTAACTCAGCGCTACCGCATTAGCAATGAGCCTTTTGCAGAGCATTAATTCAGCACTACCACATTAACAATGAGCCCTTTACAGAGCATTAATTCAGCACTACCACGTTAACAATTAGCCTTTTGCAGAGTATTAACTCAGCGCTACCGCATTAGCAATGAGCCTTTTGCAGAGCATTAACTCAGCGCTACCGCATTAGCAATGAGCCTTTTACAGAGCATTAGTTCAGCACTACCACATTAACAATTAGCCTTTTGCAGAGTATTAACTCAGTGCTACAGTATTAGCAATGAATTTGTCACTATTCTCGTCTGCTGGGACAACACGTAGTCTAGATTACATGGTTACACTGTGCTTCTAGTGAGATAATGTTTAGTTAGCCGCTCTGTGTCTTTCCTGGTAATGAGATAATGTGCCTAATTGTACTTTTGTCTACAAAGCTGTGAAAATGGCCAATTTTAGAGTTAAGCTTGGAGCTCGATGTTTTACAGCTGAACTTTGGGTTATTCTTCAGGAAACCACTGTGGTGTGGAGACCTGTTAATTGGGCAAGGTCAATTCAGGCTAATCTAGCCATTTGACCACAGTAGCTTGGAAGAGGAACAAATTAAATAGATTTTAAATGCACTATACAGAGTCTATATTATGACTGATAATGAATAACAGGAGCCAGACACAGCTCTGAAAGTAAAGAGAGAATGTTGATCGAATTCAAGGAATGAGCGAGTTCAGCGCTGATGATTGTGAGTTTTGCCCATGCAGCTGTCAGAAAGCTGTAGGGATGCAGGTTGGGGGGGGGGGCACTTTCTGTTACATCTTTCAGTTAAAGTCCTTATCCTGAAATGCATTAAATAAATGCCTCGCTAATTGGCTTACAAGTAATCCTGGTTAATTGTCAGTGGCATTTGGTAAAAGCAAGTACCAGCATTGGTCAGCTGGCTGGAGTGAGATTATCAATTCAAGACCAATCTGCACACACATGCACACGCATTTACATTTATATAACGTTTCTGTTATCTTGTAAATAGTCCTTAAGGTTTGCACACTACCCCAGCGCTTTTGATGTAGTGTTAGATTTATAACGGAGTAATATAGATCTGCCGTAAAATATCCAGCGTGAGTGTGACTCTGAAAGCGTGAGTGTCACGCCGGATGCCTGACAGCTGGCAGGCCTGTAAACCACTAGTGTAGCTTGTCTGGCAGGTCGTTGTTCATGTGTGAGACTGTTTATGTTGCATATGAATCCAGCTACCAATGCTTCTACGGTGTCTGTGTAATGCGATTGGGTCAGAGGTAATTTTCCGAGGTTCTGAACGGCATTGCATGTGCCGTGTGAGCGATTTGGAGGAACTATCCATGGTTCTGAATGTCTTTTTCCCTATATGTGACTTGGCAGATGCTGTATCTTATAAAGCAGATTAGCATTAACGCTCAAGCCTACCCTGCGGTCAGATTGACTCCAAAAGCACAAGTCAGGTGACTTCTCATAGTAACATAACTCTTACACACTCCTGCAATAATTAAGTTGCATAAAGTGGTAAGTGAGGGCCACATTCTATGGTTATGATGTCAGCATATGATGTCATGGTATGAGTATCCTTTCAAAGCATGTTTTTCTTTCTCCCTTGTCTCAGGACTGCCATGGAGAACGTATATACCTTTTTTAATCCCCCAGTGGATGCTGGGAAGTCTGCAAAGGCGGCGGATGGGAAAATAGAAGAGCAGAGTAGATGGAATCCCACGAGCCAATCAGGGCCTCAGCCCCTGCAGAGCATACCATTTCTGGGGGTGGCTGGAAGTGAACCCTCCCACTTCCCATCAAGAAAGGTACAGTCTGATGGTGGTGTGGGCCGTACCCGGGGTGTTTCTCAGTACCAAGGATGCAAAGATCGTACTTGTGGTCTTGTCAGGACTGGTCTTGCTAACTTGCCTCCCAAGAACGAACTTGGGGTGTGATGACAGGTTGGTCTCGTTTGGTGAGGATGCAACTGATGCATCCTTGACATATGGGGCAGGGCAAGAGTGACATTTAGGGATTTTCTTACTGTTCTCTGTACTTCCTTCTTTGGAACTGGTCTTCGACAGTGGCAGGTGATGTAAAACGGGGACATGAGAACACAAGTACGGTCAAGTACGCATATTGAGAAACATCATCGCCCAGTATAATAACCTGTTGACTTGTTTGAATCGCCTTCCATTGATTTGCCTGGGTTATAAAGGGTTTCTGTAGGGTGTATATATTGATTAAACAGTTGTGGTTTGTAAAGTCACTCCGACAGTCACCCGTCCCCGAAGCCTGCTAGATCAAAGCCGCCCATTAGCGTGACTGAGGACATTAACAGAAGTGGCCGCTACTGACCGTGACAGAGTCTGGATGCCATGTGCATCTCATTAGCCCTCTGCGGAGCCATTTTGAATTGCGGTGACCTTAGACTCCGTTTGTCCTTCATCAGAAATCAGAAGGCGGGCAGGAGAAGGAGCGATCGCCCGAGAGGAGCGTGACGGAGCAGAGGGCTCGCCGGGCCGCGGAGGATAGGATCCGGGACAGGCAGACCGGGCACGGAAGCCAGGCCGAGCAGCAGGTCCCTCGCTCGCACTGTCAGGACGAGAGGCCCGAGGCCCCGGTGGACCCGTGTGTGGACAGACGGTCACGATTACCACTGCAAGAAGGCATGCTGGAGGAGCCGCTCATGGAGGAATATCACAGTCCTGCCCAGTGTGGGACGAAACCGGAACCCCCTCCCCAGAGAACCAAACCGTGCCTAAGTACCATGACACAGCGCCACTTACAGGACAGCTCCGGTACTGCATTTCTTAGTTTGGCATGCGGCTTATTACATCTAATCCTTTTTTGCTAGATTTCCTGCTTGATTCACTCTGCTCACCAAGTTATAACTTATACTATAACTTGTGTCTTTTGCAAATGGGCATGAATGCTGCTTCTCTCCTGGTTTTTTACATTTTTTTCTTTCTCAACTATATTGTACTGTTAGTGATAGTAATAGTTATACACCGACATTTAAGGGTAATTATAATGGCAGCTTCACTGTGTCGTTTTTGCTCTTGGTTTAAATGTAATTATGGTTTGGCATGACAGTTTATGGGGAACGATTTATACTTGGTGCTTTTGTCATGCAGTGTTATTGTTAAGGTTGCAAAGAGGCGTGATAATTATTGTCGTTAAGTATGAGATCAGCTTTATTTACTTTATCGCTTATCCATGAAGACCTACCTGCGGAGGAGGACGTGTTGGGTTACAAAGAGGAGGAAGCCAATACACAGGAGAAGAAAGGGACGAATGAAGAGGGTGAAAGAGGAACAGAAACCAAGAGACAATCTTCCCCCGTCGCTGAAAAGGTTTGCAGGAGTGTGTGCGAGTCACAGCCAGTGGCCTCTGCCTGTTTCTGTGAGTTATGTTTCCTGTCTCTCTGCAGCCCACAGACCAGCCAGTCAGTAGCGACACGCCTCCTACTGTGACCCCTCCGAAGGAAACAGCCAGTGAGAAGAAGGTTCGCCCCCCCGTGCCTCCCGCCTCCTCCAAGCCTATGCTCGGATTGGCTGATACGGCTGCCAGTCTAGGTAACCAGCTCCCAGAGCCACATGAGCTGAAGACTTAACAGTTTGATTTCCCAAGAATCCAATCAAAATGCTTTGTGAGCTTCATGCGTGTCAAAATTTGTGATGGTGATTATGGCTTTTAACACGGACAGGCGAGGACGCGATGAAAGCTTCAGCCCCAATGAAGCCACAGAGAAACAGGAAAGCCTTCTCCTGTGAAACAGGTACCTCCTGACCTGTCCCCAGGACCAGGCTCCTGCTTTCATCTCTCGGTTCAGCACTGTGCCCTTTCGTCCGCCCAGCCCGCAGTCACCGGCCACTGCCTGTCATAGCGGGCTTCTCCGTCTCACTCTCATTAGCGCGCGTAGCGCTTCTGCTCAACTACCCGGGCCTCCGTGTTAAACAGGATTTGCACGGCCAGAGCGAGTGTGAATCCGCCATCGCCGGGCCTCTTGTGTTTGTGTTTGGGCAGCGCTCCCGCTTCACCATTTCCTGCAACGTGTGTGGTGCTGTGTGTCTGTCGCACTTACCCGCAGGCATGGAGAGGGACAGCCCGGGTATCGTGGAAAGGCCCTCAGACCGCAAGCCACCTGTGAAGAAGCCCAGGCTGCCCCAGAGCAGAAATAGGTCACTGGACAGCCCCGGTATGGTCTGCCAATGCCATAGCCAGGAATCTGGCCGCATGGGTGCCATACCTCTGTGCTGCTCTGTGCTGTCGCCAGGTTGCAGGGAATCTCGCATCGAGACTCCTAGCAACTGCTGTTTAAACATATATTATTTTTTTTTTGCTGTGAGAGTATTGCGGGTTGTGGCCAGCGAATAGACCCACGTGACACGGGACTTGGCCAATTAACAGAGAATCTATTTTTAGCCCTTTCCTCTTCAAGGGTAGCTGGGGATCCAATATGGACTGGACTGATGTAACGACATAAAATATAAGGCTTCCCATTTCAGCAGGGATTTAAAAAGCTAACCGGCTGAGGAGTGTGAGACAGACTGAAGGCATTTCAAAAGGATGTTTCCTGCTACGGCTTTCTGACTGATGTCAGGACTGACTAACTAAGAAAAAAAAAAACACCCAAAAAACACTGGGAATGAGGGCTAGTGACCTGATTCTAAAACCAATCAGCTCCGCCCCACCCCCACAAGGTGTCACAGCGTTACGGCAATTCATAGTTATCCTCTCTTGGTGCTTAATGAAAGCCTTTTAATGAGACATCCAGCATCAGTTATAATCCATTACAAACTCTCTCACTCCCGTCAGTAAGGTCGCTTGCTGGCTCCTTCTACTTCCTGTTGCTCTATAGTGACATCTGCTGTCAGCTGGTAGCGTAAGGAAGCAGGCAGCTCTCACGTCAGGGCTGACGTAGGTTACATGCTTCTGGGGGAGATCAATGAAATATAAGCTGATTGGTTATTCATGACGCAGGCATGGTTGATGGGTGCAGTCAATCGCACCTTAGTATCTCACAGTACTCGCATGAATTATGCATTTACTTCAGGTCCCAGAACTTCTCACAGCTGCTCTGATTGGTGCTGTTCAGCCGCAACCAAGATTCTGTCATAGCCAGTCTGATTGGTGCAGCCTCAACAGAGAACCTGTCGTAGCCGCTCTGACTGGGTCAATCCGCCACACCCTGGAATGCATCAGAGCCAGTGTGATCTGTGCAGCCACAGCACAGAACCTCTCACAGCAACTCTGATTGGGTCAGTCAGCCATAAACAAGAATCTGTCATAGCCTCTTTGATTGGTGCAGCCACAACCTGGAACCTCTCCAGCAATTCCGATTGGGTCAATCAGCCACAACCTAGAATGTCTCGTAGCCACTCTGATTGGTGCAGACACAGCCAGATCCTCTCACAGCCTTTCTGATTGGTTTGTTTATTTATTTGTCGGTTCAGTAAAACAACATTGCTTTGTTCTGGACTTCACTGTTTCCATACCCCCCATCTCGGTTCATGCCACATCTCCTGCTAATGGAAACGCAACTAGTAACACCAGCTGATAGTCTCACACCTGACGCTGCATATGTTAATGTGTCACGCATGCAAGTTGTAACCCAGTTCCTGCACAACAGATGCGCAGGATATCCTGTTGTCGTCGCAGCGGCAGACGACGCAGACAGAGTGTGTTGAGTTTGTTACTGGGAGAAGCTTAAAATTTCACGTGGATATACAGACCCTCTCTCCGCTGACCTCTTTTCTAGGCAACGGGAATTCAGAATCTGGCAGCAGCGAGGTGTCATGACGACAGCGGAGGCCGGCGACAGTTCCCATGACAACTGTGTGATATTATGTTGCACCGGAGGAGGGAGATAAAAGGAGCGATGGGAAAGAAATGGTGAAAGAGAGATGGAGAGACTCAGTGCTCCCTGTGAACTCAAGCCAATGCTCTGCAGGAGGAAGAACGAATACTAGTAATTACCTGTTTACCGTTAGCTTTATTCATCATAAAAGTATGCATTAATGTGTAACTGTACGCGCACACTTTCACACCTACATTCGTCCCCGCCATGTGCTGGCCTTTTATGGGTCTTCTATCACAGGCCCCCCGCACCTTCACATTTCTGTCAGTGTGGGAACTTCCCATACGTTCTGTATGTTTCAGTTTTAGTGCCGTCAATGATTCCTAGCCCCACCGCAGCAGCATTAAAAACGAACAAAAGCCAATGACGAGCAATCTAGTCATTTTAGTGTCTTAAAATCCCGGACGAAGCTCGTTGCTTGTTCTTCAGGAATCCCTCTGTCTACGAATGTCTGTTTTCCGGAGGTCGTCTTTGTTTACTCACAAAGTCCTTCACACAGACACACACACACACACACACAGATACAATGCAATGTTGACCTTTGAGACCCGACCTTTGGGTTTTTAATGGAAAAGTGGTCACTGATTTTTGCGCTGGTCAGCTGGGTGAGTCTGCTCCATCGGGCTGTAGGGGGCGCCGTAGTGCTTCAGGCTTTCAGCTCTTTACTGGCATTTGCTTCTGCACTTTCGCACCTTCCTGCTGTCCAAGGACAACCTGTGACACTGTACAGATCCTTCAGTTACTATGCTGTAAATATTTAATAAGAATTTACCAAGTCTGCACTTAAAAATATTTTAACAATCATTTTAAGATTATTAGTATTATTCTTGTTATTGGGTTTGCTTTGATACAGTATTCATTAGTTCCAGTGTTCATATAATTTTACTTAGTTTAAATTGAGAATTTCATTGTTTAACAAAACTGGTTTTGAATTCTTTGGTCTTTCTTGCCTTGAAATCTAATATATTTTGTAAAAGCCAGTATATGAATATGAATTTGAAAGAATAAAGGAAGACTGTGCTGAAGGTGAATGATTCTCTGTGAGATTTACATGAATAGGTGGAGTGTCCGATTGACAGCGGCGATCGGCCAATCGCTGACCACCTTTGCCGTGCCGTTCCTCAAGCTCAGCGTCTGGGGTGTCATCAGATCAAAGCACCTGCGCTAATTAGGTTTGTAACCCAGTGTTAAGCAGTTTAAACAGCAGAATTTGAACTACTTCTGCTGTCTGGGTTTTGAGGAAAATGGAACAAGACGTTGCTGAGGACATATTTCGGCTCGTGAATTTTTCAGCATTTTAAGGGGGTGGGGTGGGATAGTGGATGGAATTTCTGAACAGCAGGGGGCAGCAGATGTCTGATGAAAAAGGCGTGATCCAATGGCTGGGGTAGCAGGCACCAGTGAGACTGAAGCAGCTCTGATCACTGTGAACATCCAGCTGTTCTGAGATCAACACAGCCGCCTCACAAACTACTGTACCAAGTGGCTTCTCTGTCTTTAGTCAACCCGGCCTCCTTTAAAGATCGTATCCGGGCTGTTTAATGTCCTGCACGGCGGTGTTGGCTAATTAGAGCTCTCCGTATGTCAGTCCTCGGAAAACTGATCGCCCAGTCAGCATCTGTTCACAAGCTGTGACAGAATCGGGGATTTTTTTGGTGATGGAGCATGAACGCGGCTGTGCGTTCGGAGGAGGCCTCTGCAGAGGCGTTAAAGGTCACGCGTCCATCAGCGGCCCCCGTTCACTGCGCCTGCGGAGGAGCTAACGCATTGGCGTTGGCATCGCGGAGTACACGGGCTGCCCTTCAAACCCAGTCTGAGTGAAGCGCCGACAGTGGAATGCTACTGTGGAAGGGAAAGAGCCACAAGCTAATCAGCACTTCAGTCTAATTTGGACTCATCAGGCTCGTTAGGGGCTGCGGTCAGGACTTTGCACGACATTTTAAGTTTTTCGGGTTTCGTTAAAATTCTCATGTAGGACATGAGCAATTGCAGTTCGCCTCTGTATCTTCTGAGCTCATTAAGGGAACGGCTTGTAGGAAGGCTTCCCGTGTCTGGTGTGGGGGTAGTTAATTTTCCGCTGGTTCATTAGCATACCCCCCCCCCCCCCACTGAATGATGTCAATCCAACAGAGCTTGCCACAGAAAGCAGTAAAATATTTATTTACTGCTCATCCAGTCTAGATGCACACACTGTGTCCTTAGAGCCTCCTTGATGGTGCACATCAGGCGTGAACGTCAAGAGCCACCATTAGGAGTCCCAGGTCAGCGTTAGTCAGACGCGTTGAATCCACACAAACTGTCTTCGGTTTGCTTTCTCTCTTACAAAATCAAAGACCTACAACCTGCATGCGATCGTTTAACCATGTCTGTCAGAAATGAAAGCGCTCGTGAGGTGACTCCTCTTCCCGTACAGTGGCCCCACACGCCCCCACCGTCTGATTTCAGTCAGATGGCAGGAGGTGCAGCTCCATGAGTGGATAGGGGAGCAATAGAGGGATCGGGGGGTGGGGGGGGAGACGCAGATGCATTATAACACAACGGTTGACCTTGTCCTTGGTGTTTGGCTGAAGAAGGGCCCTGCAAAGGTACTATGAGTCATAAGCGGTGTGTGTGTGTGTGTGTGTGTGTGTGTGTGAGAGAGAGAGAGAGATGGGTGGGTCACACTACTGAAGGAAAGAAGGCTCATTAATAAATACTATATGTGCACACATACACACACACACACACACACACACTCCAAGTGCCTGAGAATTCCCACAGAAACAGTAAAATCGATGCCGTTAAAGCCTTGCATGTTCAGATGAACACTCACAGGGATGATTGATCTGGCTACACTCTCTCCCCCTCCCCCCATGTTTATCCTCATCCTGGTGTAAATAAATAGCGGTTGTCCACTGGAATGACACTTACCGTAGTGGATGGAGCATGAAAATAGCTTCCCAAGGTTCCCTGTCTGTTTTTTTTTTCTCCTGCCCTCTATTTCTGTCCTGCTAACCATTTAGTCCGACGGACTGATGCATTCTGGGTCAGAGTAACCAAACCCCCTGTTCATTTCTTTCCATTTTTAAAAAGCGAGACTTTCCTCGGAATCTCAAGCTTCGCGAGGTCCATGGACTCACTGTCCACGCTGAAGCCAGGCAGTAGGATTGCTGCAGGGGCCACCGTCAGTGTGCTGGTGCACATCCTCCCTTAATGCGGCGATCAGGCGTGACAGACACACAGTCACACACCTGTTCATGCTCTTACGCTCACTTGTGTCAGACTTCATTGGGGAACAGAACTTAGTGTGAGCCTTTCCTATAGACCTGCAGTGTTACCAAGCAACCTGAATATCGTGTGCTCAAGATAGAATGGAGGGGATATGGAAACAGAGGAATACAGTGGAGGGAGAAAGGGAAGAGGTGATAATACGGTACAATGGGCAGTGTCACTGGAATCAAGGGCATTGGCCTTGTGAAATATTTATGGTGGCCATGAAGTGGCGCTGCCCTCCCACCTCCTGCTCCACGGAGTTAATGGAAACAAGAGGATGACATGTGACACTCCAACCCACAAGCTCCCACCCCCCATCCGAAAAACAGGAAACCCCTTCCCATGGCCGTTTCAGAGTTAATGTTATCGGAATCACGCCTATGTGGTCCGTGTCACCTTGCGGCAGTGTGAGCGGTAACCTACATAAGCCATAGCTGAATGCTGACTGCTCATCTGCTAGTGTGTGCAGGTGTTGAATTGCCAGAGTTATTTTTAAAGATTAGTCTACTAGTTTGGATTTTCAGTTGATGATTTCCTTTGTTTGATCATTTGTTTGACTGTCTTTATCGGGATTTTCAATAGTGCCCTTAATACATTCAGTCAGTCAGTCAGTCGTTAATGGGCAAAACGCTCCTGGTTGTTTCTCGCAGGACCGGTCTGCTCTGAAAAGCGGTTCTAACGGGCAGAAGCCGTTTATTTCTGAAATATACACTGACATCTAGTGGCTCGAGGCAGAACTGCACATGGATCTATAAAAAGGGCATTGAAATTATTTTAGAGATGTTTAGTCATCCTGAAAGCTACATAGACAGACTTTTATTTCATTTTCTCTGTCCTACAGATATCCTGTAGATACTAAGCCAAAGAGCTTTGTCTCCCTCCCATCCTTGTTTTTCTGTGTCCGGGGGAGGAATAGCTTGCGCTGGTGCGGGTAATGGAGGGACACACACACACACACACACACACACAC